CGTATGGTTTCCCACACAATACCGAGGATTAGTAGATAGCACAAGTTCGTTCACATTAAATGTTTTAAGGGTTTGGGATGTATTACACAAACAGATAGGATGGGAATTTAATTCACTGTTAATACCTTTAGGGTCCACAGAGTTTTTTCCCCTGCGTAAAGAAGGTATCACAAGGAAGTGAATTAAGAAGGAGGATGCACATTTAAGGGATATAATGGTGGGGGAGGAAATGGGTTCACTTAAGGAATTGGAAAAAAAAGGGATAAGTTTTCATGAGAATCGATGAGTGGCGTTATTTTCAATTAAAACACTTTATAGGGAAGCTTCCGAAACCTCTAAGAACAAGAGAGTATTGGAACCCCTTTGAGCGTTTATTAGACACACGGGGAGATGGGAAACACGGAACTTCTAACATATATAAGATTCTCACTGAAATAAACACAGATATAAGGCCACCATATATAGAAAAATGGGAAAGGGATATAGATGTAATAATAGATGTGGAAAAACAGAGGAAAATGTATAGATTAATCCATGAAAATGTGAATATGCAGGAGGTGGAAATGAACTCCAAGTGTATGGCAAGATGGTGTATTACACCGAGCGGAGATAATTCACCTTTGTGTTGGCGGGGATGTGGAGGTAGAGGCACTATGTATCACATATGGTGGGAGTATCCGAAAATACAGGAGTATTGGGAGAAAATAGTGAACTTGATTCAGAAAATTACGGAGGTTGACATTATATTAGACCCAGAGACTTGCCTTTTTCATAGTACCAAGCTTTCAGTCAAAAAATATAAAAGATCTGGTGTACTGTATTATTTGAATGCAGCAAAGGGTTTGATACCCAAGTTCTGGAGGAGACAGGATGTGTCGAAAATAAAAGATTGGGTTGAAGGAGTGGATCAAATATGTAAAATGGAGGAACTTTACCATATGAATGAAGATAAGATGGAATAAATGGGAGGAATTTAAAAAGTCAAAGTTAAATATAGAGTTTATGGGGGACTAACATAAAATAATATGGTTACACACTTTCTTCTTCTCTTTTGAGGATGAGGATCTCCAGAAAGGAACAGGAAAATTCAGAGCAGGGCGGTGGGGAGTTAGTTGGGGGGGGTGATGGGTGGTTTTTAGGCGGGAGGGGGGGGGGGGATGGGGTGGAAGAAAAGTTGATATGATAAAGGTAAATGTGTAAATGTCAATGTTTTTTAAAAGAGTATGTTTGTACAATTTTTATTTATTTGAAAAATCAATAAATATTTAAATTTAAAAAAATGCTAAAAATAAAAAAAAAACAAGTCTTGTGTATGCAGGCCAAGAATGATGGCATGTTGGCTGGCTGCAAGCAGCCCTTAAGTTGCAAGTATTAAACCCAAAACAAAAAATTTAATATATTGCGACGTACCAATCGTTAGATTTGGTAGCTGCATTTGGTTTTTTTTTTTTTTGTTTGTTTTTTTAGGCTTTTCTCTTAGTTTTCAGCTGGTGATGTGGCCAGCATTAGAGTTCCTACACACTGGATGAGGGAGCAACAGAGACACCTTTGGACAGCAGCATTGTCAGTCTGGGTGGAGGGTAGTATTAGATACACAAGCAAGAAGAAGGGAGACACAGCGCCTCTGAGTGTAGTCTGTTAGGTAGTCTAATGGTTAAAACAATAACTTAACAACTCACATATAATAAACGATAAGCAGGCACTTAATTGTGCACAGTGCCTTGTAACTTTGTTCAGGAATCACAGTGAGCAAAGATGCCGGCTGGACAGCAGGGAGAGATGGAGAGGCGCCAGTTGTGAAAGCCTGGCAGGTCACTGGAAACTCCAGATACTTTGTTTCCTCTTCTCCTTTAAGTCCTTTACAAATATACCGATCAAATTCAGCTCCATCCAGCATTCCTAAAAGCAACACCTTGGGGTCTAGGGGCAGGGTCAGGTTATAAGTAACACTGAACGTATGCAGGACAGAAAACCAAAAGTTCCCAATCTTAGGGCAAGTCCAGACCATATGATAAAAGTTCCCTTCAGCCTACTGATATCGGGTACATAGAGGACTGACTGAGGTGTATATACCGGCCAAGCGAACAGTTATAAAATAGGCTCGGTGGAGAAATTTAACTTGAGTAAACCGATCCTTGGCCAAGATCATGTTAGTAACATAATGAGTAGTGCACACATCCCAGTCTCCCTCGGTTAATTCAGGCATGTCTGCTTGCCACTTATTGAATAGCTTAGTCAGTCTCAGTGAATGAGCCACAGAAAGGCGAAGGTAGATCAAGGACAGAGGCCTCCCCATTGCCAACTCCCATTGGAGTTGGCAGTTAAAAGGTGAGAGAAAAAGAAGAGTAGTGGGAAGAGAGGGGATGTGGGGGAAGAATGGATCAGCTAACACTTTTTAAAGCTGTTACAGCAGCAGTTTTTTTCCCTTTTGGAAAAACGTTTACATAAACTAAAGCTGACCATTGTAAGAACACCTGTCAGTGGTAAATGGTTTCTCTCAACCCTCTAACCACTACATCTACCAGACAGTTTGGTCTTTTGAAGCACAAGAGACTTACTGGCTGTCCCACCAAGTAAAAGTACAGCTCTGATTCCAAAAAAAGCTGGGACATTATGTAAAATCTACATAAAAACAGCATTGCAAATCTTATAAAGCCATACTTATTCACAATAAAAAACATGTCACATGTACAATTTAAGAACAAAATAAGGTAATTTTGAAATTTATGACAGCAGCACTCAAACAATTTGGGACAGAGCAACAAAAAGCTGGCAAAGTGGTGCTAACAAGGAAGAGTTGGAAGAACAATTTGTAAGTAATTAGGTTGGTTGGCAACAGGTCCGTAATATGATTGGATATAAAAAGAGCATCTTAGAGAGTCAGTGTCTCAGAAGTAAATATGGGCAGAGGTTCATCAGTCTGTGAAAAGCTGTATACAAAGTTTTTTTTAAAAATTCAAAATAATGTTTCTCAGTGTAAAATTGCAAAGACTTTAAATATATCATCGTCTACAGTGCATAATATCTTCAAAAGAGTATGGTAATCTGGAGAAGTCTCTGTGTACAATGGACAAGTCCGAAACTCATTATTGGATGCCTCTGATTTTCAGGCCCTCCGATGGTACTGCATCACTTCCAAAAATCGCTCTCTATGAATATAGTTCACCGTGCCATCCAAAAATGCAAGGTGAAACTCTATCATGCATAAAAGAAGCCATGTCTGAATATGATCCAGAAACACCGCCATCTTCTCTGGGCCAAAGCTCATTTAAAATGGTCTGTTGTAAAGTGGACAACTGTTCTGTGGTCAGATACAGTAAATCAAATTGTGACGTTCTTTTTGGCAACAATGGGCTCGATGTCCTCCAGACTAAAGAGCAGAGGGACCTTCTTGTCAGCACTCATTTCAAAAGCCAGCATCTCTGATAGTATGAGGGGCATTAGTGTGTGTGAAATGAGCAGCTTGCGTATATGGAAAGGCACAGTCAATGCTGAAAGATATGTCCATGTTTTAGAGCAGGATATGCTCCCATCCAGATAATATCTTTTTCAGGGAAGGCATTGCATTTTTCAGCAGGACAATGCTAAACCGCATATTGCATCTATGACAACAGCATGGCTTTGCAGTAGAAGAGTCCACGTGCTTAACTGGCCTGCCTGCAGTCCAGACCTTTCACCAATAGAAAATAGACAAAGAAGACCAAAGACTATTGAGCAGTAAGAATCCTATATCTAGCAAGAATAGGACAACATTCCTTTCCTGCAATTTCAGCATCTGGTCTCCTCCGCTTCCAGACCTTTTACAGAGTGTTTTTAAAAGAAGAGGGGATGCTACATGGCCCTGTCCCAACTCTTGTGAGATATTTGCTGCTATCAACTTTCAAACTGACCTTATATTTTTTCTTAAAATGGTACATTTTCTCAGCTTAAACATTTGATATGGTTTTTTTTTTGTGAATAAAATGTGTTTATGAGATTTACAAATCATCGCAGTCTGTTTTTATGTAGATTTTACACCAAACCTTTTTGGGAATTGGGGTGTAAAGAGAGCAAGCCTAAAAATAGTTTAATACCACTTTAATTCTGAATAGCATGCTGGAGATTTAGAATCTTCCAAAGCAGGAAAAATGCTGCTTCTGGTGTTTCCCTTCTAATTGGATAGAAGTTGGTTATTCTTCATAAGCAGGCGGGAGATGAAGTGCCAAAAAATAAGTGTGTCTGGTTATGTAGTTAGGCAGAAACTGTGACCAGAAGGCTGGCTGTACAGAATCCTTGGCAATTATAAAACCTATACAGTTAACCCTCTGTGCATTTTAATTTCAGTATTTACCTGTTTGTTAAATTGTGTGCTTTAACCACTTGCCCTCCAGATGATTTACCCCCCTTTCTGACCAGGCCATTTTTTGCGTTATTTTAACTGACAATTGCGCAGTCATGCACCGCTGCACCCAAATGAAATTTATGTCCTTTTTTTCCCCACGAATAGAGCTTTCTTTTGGTGGTATTTGATCGCCTGTGCGTTTAAAAAAAAAAAAAAAAAATCCCAGTGTATATACCGCCATTTGTAAACGCTATAGTTTTAACGTAAACCAATTAATCTACACATTTTGGGATTTTTTTTTCGCAAAGGCATGTTGCAGAATACATTTTGGCGTAAATTTTTTTTACTGGACATGTTTAATAGCAAGAAGTCCAAAATAATGTTTTTTTTTCTCAAAATTGTCAGTCTTTTTTTTTTTTCATAGCGCAAAAAATAAAAACTGCACGGGTGATTAAATACCACCGAAAGAAAGCTCAATTCGTGCGAAAAAGATGTAAATTTCATTTGGGTGCAGCGTTGCATGACCACGCAATTGTCAGTTAAAATAACGCAGCGCTGTAATGCAAAAAATGGCCTGGTCGGGGGGGGGGGGGGTTAAATCCTCAGGAGGGTAAGTGGTTAAAGGATGCTTGCTGAAGTAAAACCATCTTATTTTTTTTTTCTTTTTGAAATTATGTAGGCAATCACCAGCTGTAGACTTAGAGTTGCCAGCAAAGGAGCAGACTCGGCCAGAAGCAAAAAAGGATGGTATGCCTCCCTCTATTTACAGATTATACCTGTGAAACAGCATGTAACTGATCATTCCTGTAATATTTTCAACTTAAATTTTGTTTTTGACAAAGGTATCCGTCAGGTTTGGAATTCATTATCTGAAATCTGTTATCCAGTATGTTTAAAAGACTGTGTAGTACGTAACTGCTATTTTTTCATAAAAAAGTAATCTTAATACAGACATGACCAAACATTTTTTACTACTATCATAATGTGACACAGTATTCAATAATTCAGAAGTATGTAATTTATATGAGCACTGTGGCAAGAATGGTTGATTCTTAAAATACAACTTAGCTGTACCCTCTCCTTGGTAGACAGTGCTGTATGTAATATGTCCTAGCGCAGGGCTTAAAATTTCGAGTCTAGACCTACTAGCCAGGCACAAACCTTACTCTCCACCAGTTGCCCCACCCAACCTTGTCCGGTTCCACCTCCAACCCCACCCCTGGCCCGCTTCAACCCCGCCCCCAGCCCTTCCCCAACCACGCCCCCTTAAAGCTTATGAAATTACATTTTTCTTTAGAGTCTAATAGAAAGCTGGTTTACATAATTTATATTGTAAAGTGCTGAGCAAACTGTTGGCGCCATATAAATCCTGTATAATAATAATCATCAAGTCTCATAGTGGATAAGAGGCCAGACTGAGCCTAGAACCTAATTTATGAAACCTTATGTAAACGTGTAATGTATATTCACAGCATCTCTGTTATTATATTAGAAAGTCACATAACACATTTTCTGCCAATAAAGTATTAAAAAAGGACACAATGTGTTAATAACTGGATGTAAGGTCTATCCATAGACATAGGACAATTGTCACCGAATACTGGCATACTGCCAGAGGCATCCCCTGGTGACCATTTGTTGCATATACTATGTGTATGTTCATGTCACTGATGTGTAAAGATATGACACCATGTCTGGTGAAGACAACACGGTATTTCTAAAAAGCTTCCACTAAAATATATTACGTTAGCTAGCAAAACGGTGTTGCTTACATTTTTACACCCTTTCTGCTATCTATGGCTAACAAGGCATATTATTATTACCGTATTGAGTACAGACACCAAGAGAAAGCACTATGCAAGTTTTCAGGTACTACTAAAAGCTATACAACATGTGCAATAGGGTGTTTACTAAAAGATTAAACTTTATAAAAACTGTAGGAGTAGAGGATGGACCTCTAACCGTACACAAAGAATGTACAAATAACCATACATAAACTGAACAAAATTTCCACAGTCCATACCCAAAAATACTTCAAGGTCCCCTAAGGCGGTGGAGAGCGGGCCTCTCCCTGTGTCCCCTGCGGCTGTGGAGAGCGGACCTCTCCTCGAATCCCCCACGGCGGTGGGAGAGGGTGTCTCCTCTCAGCGGAGGAGAGGGGACCTTTTCTGCACCTGTCCCCTCAGCGGCTCTGCCAGTGTAATGGCGGTGCCGAAGAAGCCGGAAACCGGAACTCAGCTTCACAATGAGGCTTGGAGCGCAGGTGCAGCCGCTCCATCCATCATCTGTGCTCGCCACACAGGAATTTCTCCTCTCATTTGGTGAGCGGGTGAGCAGCTTTTTCAAGCCCTGTCCTAGCGTATCTAAACCAAAATGCATTATGTTGCAGGTTGTCTTTAGATGTAGTTACATTAGTTTTCACTTTTCATGCTAAGCATTTTCAACAAGTACAGAAATTACCTGTTGATCTTGCCCAAAATGCAATGTTCTTGTTACTTTTGTAAGCAAAAAGATTGTACAAAGAACCCTATCTTTATTGTGTAAACTACTATTGCCATGAATCCATGTAATGGAGATGAACAAAGGAAGACACAGCTGCCCCCAAAGGTACACTAGGGGAAAAAAAGCATATAAAGACAGGAAGTGTGCAATTCCCTGGACTACCAGGTAACAAAAAGGGGGGCAAAGCCTGAATAAAGAATGAATGCAGCTTCACATTTATTTGTCAAGAAAAACATTTAATGCAGCTATATCTGGGCTGCATCATCATCGCTCAGGTGTTTTATGTAACTGTGTATATTTTTCACTGGTTTGAAATGCCTGGGACACAAACTTGAATGCTCACCTTTCCCTTCACCCTGTTTGAGGGAGGATGAGGTATCAGAAACTCAGTGTAATAGAAAAGAGAAGGATTCCTCTGTTAACTATTACTCCCAGGAGCATTCTCGAGGTCTAGACACAGAAGCTTCCTGGAAGATGTGGTGTGCACTAATCTGAAGTTACTGCTGTCAGAATCCTCTACTAAAGCCATTGGATTTGGGTTTTGGCAGCCGCCAAAAAACCCAAGACCTTTCCAGTGCATCCTTCACTCCCAGGAAGTGTTGTATGTCGATTGGGCTTAACCTTAGAAGATGGTTTCACCACTTAAGCCTTTATGCTCACCAGTACCCCACGGAAAAGGAATTCTTCAAGAAATGAGCTTACCCAGCTTTTTCCTATTTTAATAAGACCTGACATTCTGAGCGGATGAGGTTCTAGTCTTTAAGAGACCCTCTTTAAGATGTCCTTCTCTTTGGTAAGAGCAGCCTGCGTTGGCTTCATTTGGAAGTTCACCAAGCTCTAAAAGGTTGAGCGAAGTGTATGCTTTGTTCCAGAGAATAAGTACTTGAGCGTCCTGGTACTTGGCAGCTCCTGTAAGATTTTTCGAGAGCCTTGTATATCTCGGTAGATGCCTTGGAAGATTCCATACAGCAGTTTTTAAGGGTGGGAACCATATCTGTCCACACGAGAAGGATCCTATGGCTCAAGTGTTGGTCAGCAGTACTTCTCTGAAAGAAGCAAATCGAGAGGCCACTCTGAGGGTGAACACTGGTTTGCACCATCCTTTTGATGCCTTCTTCCAGAAGATAACTGGGTAAAATTTTTGTTTTACCCCTAAAGGAGACAAAGGTGACAGGTCAAAAACTGGTGACAGAAAATACATCCCAGCTCTTTAAAAAAAAAAAAAAAGACCTTTAAGTCCTCCTGTTCCAGAGGCAAAACCTCATCACAGTCTGCAGCTTGGTGTCCAGAGGCTACAAGCTGGAGATTTTCTCCTCCACCCTTTATGTTCTCATGGATATCTTCAGATTCCCAGAAAAGAGGTTTTCTTTGAGGTCCTGAAAATACTGCTGTCGCAAGGGGTCATCACACCCCAGTCTATTCTGGACCTCAAGAATCTCCAACGAGTTCCTGATGGTACTAAATCCAAGATGGAGTCCACCTAGTCAGTGATTACTTCACTGTAACAGGGGGACTTCCTGGCTTCAGTGAATATCAAGAATGCCTACCTACACACCACGATTTTCCGGTCTCACCAACTATCAGTTTGTAGCATTACTTCTCAAACTGTCCATGTAGCCCCCAGAGTGTTTACCAGTGAATTGGCTCCAGTTCTCTGGGGTTTTTGAAGACCTATTGTTTACCCCGCCCCCCTTTTGTTGGGTACCTGGATGACCTGAATCTCAGGGAGCAAGGGTACAAATTCTGGAGAGGTTTGGCTTGGTGCAGAACCATTGGCATTGGTTCTGACACAATGCCTAGAGTACTTTAGATTAGTATTTGGCATGGAACAGGCAAAGGTACTGCTTCTGCAGGAAAAATGTCTCTTGGAGCCCAGGTGGAGTCTCTGAGATCATTGAAAAAGACCATGATTCAAGCATGCATGAAAGTACTGGGGAAGATGGCAGCCACCTTCTATGCAATCTCTTATGCTCCATTTCACTCCAGATCTCTTTAGCTCAATATTTTGTCAGTGTGGGACAAACGTCAAGAGATCTTGAATCTTCCAATGTATCATCTGACCTCTAAGATCAGGTCATCTGTGGCATGGGTGGATATCCACACAGATGCTGAACAACTGGAAATCATTCCAATAAATTTTAAAGTCTTGATGATAGATGTCAGCCTGTCGTGCTGAGGAGGTTTTCTGGAGAACTTCTAAGTGTAGGGAACATACTCATCAGAGCAGCTGGAAGTTGCTAATGATCATTCAGAAACTGAGCAATTTGGCTGGCTCCCCCACTCTGGTCTGCCGTCAGGTTCTCCCTGTCAGGGTGAAGGGACAAGAAGTTGCGCCCCTTATGAGGAAGCGGACCTGATCTTGTCTTGGCTGGAACTTCACATTTCAGCCCTCTCTGCCATGCAAGTTTTTGGTGTGGAAAATTGGCAGGTGGACTTTTTCAGGCACCAGCAGCTGAATCGGGGAGAATGGGCCCTTCACCCGGAGGTGTTTGCATAGATTTGTCTGCAGGGGGGACTCTTTAAGCTTGGGCTTGGATCTTTAGGCATTTGCATTAGATGCCCTGGTAAATCCTTGGAATCCAGTTTCCCTTATCTGTGCTTGCCCTTCACTTTAGCTTCTTCCTCATCTGTTGGGCTGGAAGAAGTGAAGGTCACTATGGTGAATCTGATTGCATTTGACATTGCCCGCATCCTGAGAGATAAAGGGGTGTTTCTAACTTTGCAATTCCTACTCTCCTTAAGTCTGAAAGTCTAACTCCAGGAAGGAAGAAATGGAAAGCTTTTTTCAGTCAATGAGTCTCCTAATTTTTATTCTCAACAGTATGTCGTGGATCACAGTTTGGCTTTTCTCCAGTCTGTTGTGGAAATGTCTCTGCCTTTAAGTACCATCAACGGACAGTTATCGGCCTTGGCCTTAGTGTTTCAGAAAACTATTGTGTCTCATTCATTAGTTAAAGCTAATGTGCAGGATGTCACATCAACTGTTCTGCCTATACAGAACAATCCATGTGACCCCTTATCTCTCTGGGTCTTGTCTGTTTTTCAGTCTCTTCCTTTTGCTTCTCTTCATGAGATTCCTCTATCTTTACTCACATGAAAGGCAGTCCTTTTGACCTTTTTGATGGTCGTTACCTTGGCTTTCAGGGTTTTAATCAAAGGGCGCTTTCCTGTTTCTTAATCAAAATAAGGTGGTGTTGAGAACTCGGTCCACTTTTTTTTCCTAAGGTGGTTTCTTTGTTCCAGCTGAATTGGGGCATTGTGCTGCCATCTTTTTGTCCTAATTCTAAGCATTGCAAGGAAAAGATGCTTCACTCTTTTGAACATTGTTTTTTTTTTTTTTTAATCTTTATTTTGAAGAAAAAGAAATGAAAGAATGAGAAAAGAGGCAGAGGGGGGAGGGGAAGGGATGATAAAAAAGAAAAAAATAAAGAAGAGAAAATAAGAGAGTAGAGCACACCCCTCCGCCTAACCTCCCAGCCCCCACACAGGCAAGTGTCCCAGTCCTCTGGAGAATGCACAGAGTCACAAGTCCTAAGAGGCAGACCTAGACTGAGAAGCCAAAACTGTTTGATTGTTATAGAAGAAATATGGGGTCTTTTGGACATTGTTTGAGCTTTTCAAGTTTACCTAAAGTCTACAGCTTAATTTCAACAGTCTGTTTCCCTGTTTGTTCGGCCTGGGGGAAGGGGGCCTTATATAGGTCAGGCTGTTTCTTGATCCACCATTTCTAAGTGGATTCGTCAGCTCATTTCTTAGGCCTATAGTATCAAAGGCAGCCCCAGTCAAGGTCCATTTCACCAGGAGTGACAGTTCTTTGTGGAATATTCAGCACCAATCTTCTATTGTTTAAGTCTTTAAAGATGCTACCTGGTCTTTCCCTCACTTATTTCTACCAGGTAGATAAATGTTCACACCTCTGTGAATGCTAGTTTTGGGTGGAAGGCCTTGCAGGAGGCTTTGTAGTGGGGTTACCTATCTTCCGTTTTAGACATGTTTGGCTTTGTTGCTGACTGCTCGTGTTCAGGGCTTTAGGACATCCCAAGTAGTAATGAGTATTAACTCCACTTGTCCTGTGATGTACAGTTAAGAAATTTACGATTTTTGGTTTACCTGTGAAATCCTTTTCTTGGAGTCCATCACAGGACACAGATTCTTCAGGCTTAGCTGAGCTCCAAGGAGTTATTTATGCATGGTTGGGGATTTCTGCCTTTTTTTTGGCCCGTGTCCACTCACCTGAAGGTGACAGTATAACCCAAGAAGGCATGAATGTGAAGTCCCCTGTGTCCTGTGAAGTGCTCCAAGAAACGCATTTTAGAGGTAAATCAAAAAGATCATGATGTCTGTGTTTACAAATAATTTTTAAAATCACATTATGAAATGTGGACCATCCGTTAATCCTATACTATGGAAAAGATATGTGGGTTGATTTACTAAAACTGGAGTGTGCAAAATCTGGTGTAGCTCTGCATGGAAAACCAATCAGCTTCCAGGTTTTTTTGTCAAAGCTTAATTGAACAAGCTGAAGTTAGAAGCTGGCTACCGTGCACAGCTGCTCCAGATTTTGCACTTTCCAGTTTTAATAAATCAACCCCATGGTGTAGGGGAAATTTTTGCTGACAGTTGTAATGTGCATGTATAAACAGCATATTTAGTTTAGTCATTTGAAGTGTAAAATGAGAGAAGGGTCGCTCCTCAAAAAGCTTAAATTAAAACCTATCATAATTAAAATTCAAAGCCTGCCATTTCTGACCACCTTTTGAGAATACTAGTTGACTATCTGTTATCCTAACCTTACTAGCTTTAAAATATACTGAGTTTACTCTCCCAGAACATGTGGATCAAGAAAGTTTATTTTATTTTTTAAATCAGTACAAGTGGGAAGTACTTACATTGATTGCCCTTTTGCTGAAGGTGGCTCTCTCCATCCTCTGGCCACCTATACCCCCGCAGTGGTAATCTTCCAGCGCTGTGAGGGTAAATATGCACTTTTCATTCATCCGTCGGTCATCCATTCATAGAGCATTTTTCATTTCTGGAAGCTATAGTACAGCTTCTATGAATGATGTGGAGGATGGCCGACAAGGTCAGCATGCTTGACTATTGCCTGTGACAGGTCCAGCAGCTTGCACTAACTCCTGCAACACCATTGCAGAAGATTTCAACTAGGAGAGCAATTACTGGCACAGGGAACACCTCTCATTCAATGTTAGTACCATCCTTTGTGCCAATTTTCTTTTTCTTTTTTTTTTTTTAATTAAACTTCAGCTTTAAGTCTATATCTGCATATCTGTTCCAAGTCATTTACTCATAATATTGAAGCAACAGGGTCAGAATGACAGCCAGGCAACCGGTATTTTTAAAAGGCGTTTTTTTTAGCAGTGGAAGCATGTTTTTCTTGACAAGGTTTCCTTTAATAAATTTTTGACATAATATTCCAAATGAGCTACGTCCTGGCTATAAAACATAATCATATCCTATAGATCTCATATCTTTCTTTATCCATAATGTTGTATTATAATATGTTGTGTTTGTGGAACTAGAATTAATGCCTTGTATTGCGAAGGTAGAATTGTTCATTCAGGACCTTTCACAAGAAAAATGGGTACATATTTCCTTGCAGCATTTTTTTTTGGTCAGTTATTATTGTGTGTACAAAAGTGAAAACTTTTTTATGTGGCAGATTCTAAACAGCCTGAAGATGATGCCGAGTTTAGTTCTCCTCTGATGCGGTTACTGCAGCAGGAACATAGGCAGCAGGACTCTATGCAAGAGCCAAAGCCTAGATCTGGTCTTCTATTTGAGATCTCAAGTGATGACGGTTTTCAGATTTCTTCCAACAGCATTGAAGGTAAATGGAATAGTGTATATATTAAAAAAGATGAACAATGCTAAAATGTATGCTATTGCACCTAACTTGAAAGTCACTTCAACTGAATAGAACAGAATTTACTGTTGTTGCAGGAAATTGGCACCGTTTGATATAGTATGTCCAGCGTTGCAGTAAATGTTGATCAAGGTTAAAGACACGTGTTGCCCATCAAGCCAGTTCTGGCTGAATAAGAAAATACGGCATGCAGTATTTTTCAGTGTGGTGTGACACAGTACACTGTTCCATGCTGCAGCCAATGGATCTTAATGAATTGTCACTATGTGACATTTCCATCAGGTTTACACAAAACATACGGTGTGGTTCAGCCCCAGGAAGCAATACAAAATCCCCATGGACAACAGTGGCCGTTTTCAACACTGGAGGAAAAAAAAAATCATCCTGATCTCTATAGTGCGATTGGATCAATTCCTTGGTTCAAAGAGTTTCTCTTAGCTGTACTTTGAATTGAATTGAACTATTTTTCCATAGTGCAAAACAAAGCATCAATACTTGAGGACTAACTTAAAGTCTTGTTATTGTTCTCATGGATACATTTCTGACCTGCTACCATATACAGCAGCAGTTTTATTTTCCATAAAGCTGTTTGTTTTATTATTTAAAAAATACCCTTTAAGCTTAAAGCCCTTTACAAATGGGCCGAAGATCATCTGGTTCAACAGAAACCGGCTGCATTTAGTCCATGTGTACAGCTGTCTGTTCAACAGAAGCCGATCTAAAGACCCGCTTCTGTCATATGGTCATGCTGGCGAATCAACATTCGTTCAGTGCAAATGACTGCACGCGCTGATCAGTGTAGTTCCCTTGAGTCCGTCTGCCATAATACAATGTCTCATCTGGAGAGATCCCTGCATAAATATAATTTGTGTTGATGTGGGGGTCTGTCAGGTATTTGTTTTCATTCAACCTGTTGGTTTAGCAAAAAAACTGTGTGTGTACCCAGCTTGAGTTAGATGCCTTAAAATAGTCTTTAAGGATTATGTAAAATGAACAGTGTAAGTAATCTGCTGCAAGTGGTAGGAAGTATTTCCCAAGTCTTTCCCTCTACACTTATCAACTCTATTCAGTTCATTTTTACAAGGCAGGACACATCTTGGGGCTATTCTGTATGGGACTTTGATAGAGTAGTATATGGATGGGCCACAGGGTGAAAGATAACAGTGGCATTCTTGTAGCAGGGGAGCTGAGCTACATGAGGTGGAGCATGCGTGTTCCTCTTAAAGTGTTACTAAACCCAGGACCCTAAACAGGGTGGGCAGAGGAGCAACAAGTGAAACTACAAGTGATGGGACATGAAGGAATGGACACTAACATGGATGGCAAAAGCCCAGAGTGCAGTTTATAAGTCCATATGTGTGGAGGGGGGGGGGTACCCACATTCACTGTGGCATCCGTTCCTCAGAGTACGCAGGCTCTGTGTGGAAAGAAAAATAGGAGAACAAGGGAAGTGCCACTGAGTGTAGTATTAGTATGTGGTTTATTCAGCAAAGGTAAGTAACACCCACAAGAGAGTAGAAAAGCAATCGCTTGTCATCAGTAATGTACAGATTCAGTGCAGCCCAAAATCCAGGGATGGAGTCCCACTTCCACGGATGGTGAGGAACGCCATCACCGCAGTGCCGACATGGGATTGTTGACTGGAAGTGAAGGAACCAGCGTTGATCGCATCTGCGGGCGGAAGGGACGTCACTGGATGAGGACCAGTGTTGTATTACATTACTGATGACAAGCGATCACTTTTCTACTCTACCTTTGCTGAATTAACCACATACTAATACTACACTCAGTGGCGCCTCCCTTGTTCTCCTATTTGTAAACCCAGGATCCTACATTCACTCTATCTGGTCTCCCACAGTACACAGAACATGGAAATGCAATTATTTTAGTAAATATAAACTGGTAAATACCTTTTCTCATCAGCAGTATATAGCAGTCTTGTGACTTCTATCAGTGTCTAGCTGAGCACTGGTTAAAACTTGTAGGAGGAGTTTTCTTGTGAAGGATGCAGAACCCCTGACCACTGTCTGGACAGTGCTGATTGGCCCTGTGCTAATCATATGCACTCTCCCAAAAAAAAAAAAAACCTCTCTAGCAGTACACACAAAATTGAGCATGTACAGTATCTCCACACGATATGTCTTATCAGGAGATTAGAGGGGAGTACTGGAAGAAGGGGATGATCAGAGAAGTCAGGATCAAGCCACATTTTTTACACAATGCAGAGGATTAACCCCTTAGGTTCCACAGTGAGTATGACAAGCATGCTTTGCTGCATATACAGACTGATTTACTGTTGTGGGTTTAGTAACACTTTAAGTCCTTACAAGACCCTTGATCCCCTTTCATTCATCTTTTCATCCCACAGTCATCCAATATTACCTTTCTCTACTCTTTTTGTCCAAGTACTCCATAACCATTCTCCTTTCTTTTTTCATTGCCAGATTTTCACTGTGCCCATTTTTCAGCATCTGGTTCTGTTGTCTTTGTATGCATTTCTGTTTCTTCTCTTTGTGTTCCAGTCCTGTGCCCCTGTGTGTCTAATTTTTTTTATTTCTATCTGTCAACTTATCATTTGCTAATCTTGTCTGTGGTGTTTGTTCCTGGTGCTATTTTCCTAATTGCTTGTTTCCCACTTTCTGCACCTAGTCCCCATCTTCTTTGGCCACTGTTCTTCTCCACTTCACTTGTAGCAGCCCAGATTCCACCATCCCACAGTGGAGGAACATCTGATAAGTATAGGGCAAGCCATTGTGCTCGTACTGTGTTTTTTGGATGCTCTTAAACATGCTGCACACTAAATTGATTTTATATATTTTTTTTGTGGATTGCTACATCTGCATGTAATAAAATCTATAAAAGAGGAAAAACAACACTCAGTTCCTTAAAGGCATTATACATTTGTGTCTTGTGTTTTTACTTGCATAAGATGTGTGTTAATTTCATGGTGTCATTTGTTGCTCTGTATGCACAGCCTACAGTAGAGAGAAATTTTTAACATTCTGGTGTCAGAACTTTCTTTTAAACATGTGGCATAGCACTGCCCTGGTATTGATACATGACCCCTGTAGTCTAAGAGCTGACACGTCTGTGAAGAAACTACAATTCTTTATTGTACATTCCAGGATACAGTGTATTTTCTGTTCCATTACAATAGTTATGCTGCCACCTTCAAGTGATTGGTCCCTCCCTGTTAGCCTTAGTTTTTTTTGCGAATGTCTTTAGATGATGGTCATGCCTGTGCAGTCTTTGCACAAAAGCATAGCTAGCTTTTCAACAACTCCAACTGGGATTGAGAGACTGGCCTTTTCTGAATCCATTTCCTATGGTTTTTCTATGCTGTGGACTTGAACATGTGGGAACAGTCTGTAATGTTGCCAGTAGACACTGGACCCTTCAAAACAGGGCCCTGCACAATGATATATTGCCTTGTGGACCAAATAGAGGGCTATTTCCAGCTGGCGTGATGGGGGATCCTGCAGCATGGAATGGTAAGTGCCCTAGCAGAATTTTTTATTTTTGCACTGTCCCTTTGAAAAAAAATTAATCACTTATATTCTTATGACAAGGAATGCATGCATCCCTTGTGATAGAAATAATTAGTGACAGATCCTCTTTATGGAGAGATATGAGGTCAATAAGACCCCACATCTCTCTTCTGCAATATAAAGCATTAGATTAAAAAAAAAGCATTGATCTAGTGCTTTAACAAAAAAAAAAATGGTCTGAATGGGAAGTGACATCGCTCTGATCCTCCAAGGGCATAGAGATGAGTGGCGGTCATCTTTTCTTCGCTCATCGCTATGGCCAGCGCCAGGATCGATGGTTTCTCAAGTATGGCTGAGAACTACAGAGCGGCCGGTGGCAGCGAGGGGCGGGGTTTTTTTTGGCACCTGTATCGGTGCTTTTCTTTTTTCATTTTGGCCAGCGGCCAAAAGGGGTGTTTTCGGCCGAGACGTTTCAGCCACCGAAATTTCAGTGCATCCCTAGTGGACATCTTTTCTTCAATTCTGCCAATCTGATAAGACACCTAGCAAACACTCTGCAGGCGCTTCTGGATTGAGATCTTCTGTCCCAAGGACCGATTTTCTGTCTTGCTTCTTGGTCATTGGTTTTAACAGCATGGCTGTTGAAGCCTTGGGACTGTGGCATCTCGGAGTCTGGGATTCCTGTGATGCTAAAAGCTAGGAAGTCCACTTCTCGAAAGTTTATCTTCAGATATAAAAGGCATACTTCACTTGGTGTGAGTCTCTGGGCTTCAAAGTCAGTAGTTTCTCCATAGGACAAGTTCTCTACTGCCTGTAGCTAGGCCTGGACTAGCATCTGGGTCCCAGCGCTATCAGCTATCAGGTTTCTGCACTTTCTATTCTGTTTCAGAGACCACTGGCCTCTCACTCTTGACTTAAACCTTTTGTACAGGAGGTCTCCTATGTGGTCCCCCCCCTCTGTTCTTCTTGACTCCATCAGATGTGAATCTTGGTATTTCTGGCCTGCAGAAACCACTGATTGAGATATTTCTCTCTCTACTCTCACTACATAACTGAGGTATGCTGGTAGCAAGGATGTGGGGGGGGGGGGCTTGTCATGGGCTGGCTTACAGTTTTTTGTTTGCCAGTGTCCAATCCTCCTGTAGTTGGCTGTATGACACAAAGGCTAAAGACTTTCTGTGGATTTTACAGTGAGTATAAAAGTCTTATTTTATTGGTGTATTGTGCAATTTTTTTCTTTGTCTTACAGAGGCCTGGAAATCCCTGACTGATAAAGTACAGGAAGCTCGATCCAACGCAAGGCTAAAGCAGCTATCTTTTGCAGGTAAGCAGTTATGATTTTTGATGATTCCTGAGATGAGTTTTTCCTAAAACAGCACATCAAAAAAGCCACCACCTTCTGAAGTATCTGCACATTCTTGACAATGTTCCGGCCTCACATTTGGCTGCTCAGGGGCCAATCACTGCATTTTAGAGAGGAGTTGGGGGTGTGTTCACCCAAACCTGCAAGTCTGGTAGAGGAGCAATTGGAAGGTATGTAAATTGCTTATAAGGAAACTCGTCGCTATGCCCAGTGTGGCACATGTGTCAGGATCACTTGACTGGCTATACAAAATAACATCTAGTTTAACTGTACAGTACAGGACACAGGAGTTGATTCTTAGACCATGGGTTATATACCACTACCTTCAAGTTATTGGACACTGGCAAAAGTTTTGCTGGGAACTGCCCCCAGTGAATCCACATAACCCTGCCCACTTTCTGAGGCTTAAGTTTTTTGCTAGTGTCTTTAGGTGATGAACCCCTTCTCTTATTGGTGAATATGTTTTTCTATTTTTCACCAGTTTTCCTTTCTTTTCTTCTTTCTTCATCTGACACGTCCATCAAGATCTCCCTAGTTCTTTCTTTATGGCTCACTAGCAGTTTCCAGATTGGTTACCCTTGATTTACATCTTGAGAACCATACCCAGACACTGGGTTCTGTGTTTGGCTCTCACCTTAATATGTGGTGCAACGCAATGAGTTTGCCACAGGGTGCCTTACAGGTCCACGGTTGTAGTCCATCCCTCTGGCTCCCAGGCTCCAAAGACCACTTTGGAGGGTAGGTCCACCGTGATGGGCAAAGCCTGACCGCTGGACTGGACTTGCAACATTTATAAGGAAAAATTGGGGTTCTCTTTACCTTTACAGATTATTATTATACAGTATTTATAAAGCGCCAATAGTTCGCTCAGCGCTGTACATTACAAAGGGGGACAGAAAATGTGACAGAACAATACCAATACAATGCAAAACATGAGGGGATTGAGGGATAGAGATTGGTTTCTGGCTACACATATTTTGCTGGATTGCTACCTATATAGTAGATATCACATTATCCTACAAGATGTACCACAGTGCTAAGCACATAAGTGATTTTGGGGTGATCCCTGTTTGAAGGTTTTTTGCCCTGACCATTATTTTCTCACTTAATTGAACTTATAGGTAACATCATTATAATGTTTACCTATTGAAAATTTTTGTTTCCATCTCACTACCAGAAGTTTCTTTTTGGCTATTGATGTAGCGCTCGTAAGAGTCCTGACTGCACACTTCTGACCGTCACTACTGCTGAGGACTCAGACTGATCATTTGCTACCTCATCTGTTGCTTGATACTTCAGACACAGTCACGGGAACCCGATTAGCACCTGGGTTGTTGCAATTCTTTCATACCAGACACACTGAACTTCCTCAGTTCTTATACATTCCGAGAGTACTCCACCAAGAAAGGTCCTCATTTGACACTAGAACTCAGAGAGGTTATTCCCTCCTCCTGATAATTTTGATGCCTTGTACCCTATGAAAGAGGAGTTTAAAAATAGGCGGACTGTTCCTATTGTGGACTCGCACTTGCACTAAATAATCAATCTGCTGTTTCCAATTATATATTCCATCTTTTAAGGATTCAATTGGTAGGTGTCTGGAAAAAAAAACAGCAAAGCATGATTCAATTTGCTCTTACAGGGATAAAAATTCCTTCTTGATCCCCGGAGAAGCAATTGGATATTCCCTGGATCAACTTTACCTATAAATGTTAGTAACCAGTTATATTCTGTGCAAGAAAGAATCCAGGCCTTTTTTTAAGCAATCCATTGAGCTGGCCAGAACCAACTCTTAAGGGAGTCTATTCCACATTTTCACAGCTCTTACTGTGAAATAATCTTTTTGTATTTGGAGATTAAATTTATTTTCCTCCAGATGTAAAGAGTGCCCCCTTGTCCTCTGTGATGACCTCAGTGCGAATTATTCTGCACCAAATTTACTATATGAACCACTGATGTATTTATACATGTTGATCATATCCCCCTTAATCTCCTCTTCTCAAAAGAGAATAAATTAAGTTCCTCTAATCGTTCCTCATAGCTGAGCTCCTCCATGTCTCATATCAGTTTGGTTGTCCTTCTCTGTACTTTCTCCACTTCCCCAATGTTCTTTCTGTGAATTGGTGCCCAAAACTGAACTGCATATTCCAGATGAGTTCTTACTAATGATTTGTACAGTGGTTAAATGATCTCTCTCTCTCTGTAATCTATACCTCTTTTAATACAAGAGGATTTTGCTCGGTTTAGAAACCGCAGCTTGGCATTGCATTCCATTATTAAGCTTGTGATGTACCAGAACTCCCAGATCCTTCTACAACATTGATTCCCCCAGTTGTACTCCCCCTAGTATGCATAATGCATGTATATTCTTAGCCCCCAAGTGCATAACCTTGCATTTACCTGGACTGGAGACATTAATAGTGAACTTTCTGTGGTTATAGGTGGTCGTAATCTTCCATCAAGATTACGTTTCCTACCCCACTGTTCTCAGTCACGCTTCCCTCACAGCTGCCTCCTACTGTATCAAATCGTCATCTAATGCAGGTCCTTCACCATGTGGCAGACCCCTCGCGGCTAAGCTCACCAGAGCTTCTCAAAAACCATTGCATTAAAAGTTGCTTCCACCCTTTTACAAGGGGGGGGAAGAAGGACATCTGGTAACAATTATTATTATTATATAGGATTTATATAACTCCAACAGTTTGCGCAACGCTTTACAATATAATGGGAGACAATACAGCAACAATACACTTTAATATAAGAGGGTTAGGAGGGTCCTTCTCCTTGGAGCTTACAATCTAATTGATCCGCATTGTATTACATTCATACAACTCCCATGTGCAGCTTCGAGGTCCAGTCTTTACTGGTTATAGTCCTGTTGTCAATGATCCCTGGGTCCATCTTTAAAAAAAAAAACATTTTATGGCACTGTCTTCTAGCTGCCCAGGTGGCTATACCCCGACATTGGAAATCTACCTCCCTGCCTCACCTCCTGCAATGAGCCAAGATTCTGTATTAGATCATGGCTATGGAGACCATGGTCCCGAGAAGACATGTGCAGTGAAGAAAATAAGTATTTGATCCTCTGCTGATTTTGAATGTTTGCCCCTCACAAAGAAATGATCAGTCTAAAAATTGAATGGTAGGTGTATTGTAACACTGAGAGACAGAATAGCAAGAAAAAATTCAAAAGAAATGCATGTCTAACAAATTATGCACTGATTTGCATGTTTATGAGGGAAATAAGTATTTGATCCCTTTCACAAAATATGACTTAGTACTCGGTGGCAAATCCCTTGTTGGCAATCACAGAGGTCAGACGTTTCCTATAGTTGGCCAACAGGTTTGCACATATCTCAGGAGGGATTTTGACCCACTCCTCTTGGCAGATCCTCTCCAAGTTGTTAAGGTTTGGTGGCTGACGTTTGGCAACTCGAACTTTCAGCTCCCTCCACAGATTTTCAATCAGATTAAGGTCTGGAGACTGGCTAGGCCACTCCAGGACCTTAATGTGCTTCGTCTTGAGCCACTTCTTTGTTGCCTTGGTCGTGTGCTTTGGGTCATTGTCATGCTAGAACACCCATCCATGACCCATTTTTCAGTGCCCTGGCTGAGGAAAGAAGGTTCTTACCCAAGATTTGATGGTACATTGCCCTGTCCATCATCCCTTTGATGCGGTGCAGTTTTCCTGTCCCCTTAGCAGAAAAACACCCCCAAAGCAGAATGTTTCCACCACCATGTTTGACAGTTGGGATGGTGTTTTTGGGGTCATAGGCAGAATTCCTCCTCCTCCTCCAAAGACGGCGAGTTGAGTTGATGCCAAAGAGCTTGATTTTAGTCTCATCTGACCACAACACTTTCAACCAGTCCTCCTCTGCATCATTCAGATGTTCAGTGGCAAACTTCAGACGGGCCTGGACATGTGCTTTCTTGAGCAGAGGGACCTTGCGGGCAAGGATTTCAATCCTTGTCGGCGTAGTGTGTTACCAATTGTTTTCTTGGGGACTGTGGTCCTAGCTGCCTGGAGATCATTGACAAGATCCTCACTTGTAGTTCTGGGATGATTCCTCACTGTTCTCATGATCATTGACACTTCACGAGATGAGATCTTGCATGGTGTACCAGACCTAGGCAGACTGACAGTTGTTTTGTGTTTCTTCCATTTGTGAATGATTGCACCAACTGTTGTCACCTTCTCACCAAGTTGCTTGGCGATAGTTTTGTAGCCCAGTCCAGCCTTGTGCAGATCTACAATCTTGTCCCTGACATCCTTGGATGGCTCTTTGGTCTTTGCCATGGTGGAGAGTTTGGAATATGATTGTTTGATTGCGCCTGCGGACAGGTGTCTTTTATACGGGAAACAAAATGAGATTAGCAGCACTCCCTTTAAGAGACTGATTCTAATCTCAGCTTGTTACCTGTAGGAAAGACACCTGGTAGCCAGAAATCCTGTTGAATGATAGGGGATCAAATACTTATTTCACTCATGAACATGCAAATCAGTGCATAATTTGTTAGACATGCATTTCTTTTGAATTTTTTGTTGCTATTCTGTCTCTCAGTGTTACAATACACCTACCATTCGATGTTTAGACTGATCATTTCTTTGTGAGTGGGAAAACATTCAAAATCAGCAAGGGATCAAATACTTATTTCCTTCACTGTATGTGCTGGTTAGCCTTTAGCGACTCCTTCCCTTTCCTTGCCTTATTTGCAAAAGAATTGGCATACTTCCTTGGAGGCAGCTTCAAGCATGTTCTTTTTCAGGGTTTCAGTTTTTCAGTTTCAGAGCCTCCCTTATCAGACCCTCCCCTGTCCTACTCAGACCCTCTCTCCCTCCATTTTTTTTTTCTTTTTAATTATCTATTCTCTCCTTTAAATTCCCCCACACATTACCATCTCCCTGTTTTTTTTCATCTGAGATATGACTTTACTAGCTGTGGGGCAGCACAGTGGCTAAATGGTTAGCACTTCCGCCTGGCAGCACTAGGGCTGTTGGTTCGAATCCCAGCCACGGCACCACCTGCCTGGAGTTTGCATGTTCTCCCTGTGCCTGCGTGGGTTTCCTCCGGGTACTCCGGTTTCCTCCCACACTCCAAAGACATGCTGGTAGGTGCTCCTGTCTAAATTGCCCTAGTATGTGTATGTATGAATGTGAGTTAGGGACCTTAGATTGTACACGCCTTGAGGGATAGGGACTGATGTGAATGTACAATATATATGTAAAAGCGCTGCGCAAATTGACGGCGCTATATAAGTACCTGAAATAAATAAATAACTAGCTGGTTGACAGCCATTTTGTTTGTACCAGGATTTTTGTCTAACTTAAGCATTATTCTGATCAGAACTATTGTATTCGATTTTAAAACTTTTTAATTGTTTGTCTTCCTGTGTGTAATCATTCTGAAAATCTTTTGAATAAAATAGTTCTTTGACTATAATAATGTCCATTACTCTCTTTTATAGATGACTATAATTGAAATCAAAACTTAAATTTTTTTTGTCTCCTTTAACTTGTATGTTCCATCCATAGGTGTGAATGCTCTAAAGATGCTTGGAATTATACATGATGCTGTTGTGTTCCTGGTGGAACAGCTCTATGGTGCCAACAGGTGTCGTAGGTATAAGTTCCGTTTCCATCATCCAGCTGGAGAAGAGGAGCCACCTCTGAACCCCCATGGGTCAGCACGAGCGGAGGTGTACCATAGGTGAGCAAGGAAAAAAAAAATACCTTTGTAGAGTAATACAGATATGACTTTAAAGAGGTGTTAGCATCAAAATGTATTTCTCTACTGTTCATTGAAGGACACAGCAGATCTTCATGACTAATGTTTTTGAGGTCGCCAGCTGCGGGAGCACAAATATAATATAGTGAAATGCTCAAAATAAAATACAACTGCCAAGAGTAAATCCCTGAATCCGCATATTAAGGATAAATTTAACTGTGATAATTCAATATTTTCAACTGTGCGTAGATCCAGTTCATGTGCCATATAGTACATGAAAACAAAGTGCATAAAGCAAGTGTCCTTGTAAATTAATCACAGTGCATATCTTCCATTTCACATAAAGTGATATTAAGCGCTCAAGGTTTTTCCCCTATTTCTGTTCCTGAGCAATAGTTATGCATAAAGGGTCTACCGTTTTTGTCCATTTTCCCCATTTCCTGTTGTCTTTCTGCCCCTTTTGCAGCACTGATCTCATGGGGGCAAGAGTGGAACATCATTTCTGTGGAGGCACGCTTGCTGCGCCGGCAAGCAGGGGGTCCTCGTTCACGCAGGACATTCCAGCTCCACTTCCCATGTCCTTTGATTGACATGGGAAACCAGACCTCTTTGGTCTTAAAATGATAAGTGTCTCTGCCCTCTTTTTAATTTTAATTTTATCTTTATTGTTGTGATTTTTGGACTGAGTCGATAAGTTGATGTTCCCTGTATAGTTTTATTATAAATGAAATGATGATGTCCCTTTAACCCCTTGGTGCCAGCGCCTCCTGGCCCTTTAAGGAGTTTAATGCCTAGGTGGGAGGATTAGGATCATGTTACCACCGTGATTGGCTGTGACTGGCGACACATGACCTTTCAGTGAGGTGCTAGTAAATGTGCCGGCGTGTGCTCTCAACTTGTGTGTTTACTTTGGTTACTCAGATAAGTGGCCTCTTGGGATCAAGGTCCAGCCACAGAAAGGATGTCTATTTGCATACAGTCAGTGCCAACAAGTTAAGAAATACCCTGCTGCAGAGGGCAATATTAATTTCTGCTATAAATATGTTTAGAGTATTTATATACCTTTTTTAAGAGTTTATTGATGTTTATATTGTATGTGTCTTTTAGTCAATTCTTGATTTGGATTGTAGCCGATGTTTGCATGTACTGGCTGCGATTAGCTGGGAGTGTTTTTGTTTACTTGTTGCTATGACAACTTCCCAAATGCTCTGGTACTTGAAACGAGATGCACGAAAAAGCCCACTTCAGCATGAAGGTTTGCCCCCATCCTCTGTTTGCAGACGCCTGGCTGTCCCCCAGCTTAGACATACATGTTTGAAGGTGGTCTTATTCGGCTACATATAAATTTCCAGTCTTTTCCACTGGATCGTTTCTTCCCCTTCAACTTGCGTCATTCACCTCATCGTCTAGCAGACCGGCAGTCAGCAGTTCAAGAGCTCCTAAGGTCGAGGTTGATTGCCACGGTTCCGTTCTCTGAAACTTTCAGGGGCTTCTATTCCAATTTGTTCAGTCCTAACACAATCCTACACAGTATCCATCCAATTTTAGATATAAAAGCCTTAAATGCTTTTTTAAAACTGCACAAAATTTGCATGGAGTCTGTTCCCTACACCAAGGGGGATTTTCTAGCTTCAATCAACATCAAGGATGCTTATCTCTTTGCCCCAATTGCTACAACCACCAACAGTTCCTTCAAGTTGTGACAGTTTGTGTAGAGCTGCAGTACCAGTTTGTAGCCCTTCTCTTTGGACTGACATCAGTACCACAAGTCTCCACCAAGATACTGGGTCTGGTCCAGGCTCTCTTACACTTCTGCAGTATATTGATTGTGGGTTATCTGAACGACCTGCTCCTGCAATCAGACTGCATTGAATCTGGAACACAATCTCTCCATCGAGGCACTGGAGGATGTCTGGACTCCAAGGACCTAGTTTTCCTTCCACAGGAGAAAATTCAGAAGAAGCCATATTTTCATATCCTCCATCTAACGTCTCTGAGAACTTCATCCATTATTGCATTAGGGTACTGGGCTTTCAGTTGTCTCTTCATTTGGTGGATCCTGACCACAGATGCCAATCTCTTTGAGTTGGGGAGGTGGAGGGAGGGTGTGTGTGATAGGTCACTTTTCAGTTCAGGGTAAATGGTCACCAAAAGAGACCAATCTCCCCATCAAGATCCTGGAACTCTGTGTGGTCTGTCTCCCTCTCCCAATAAGCATCTCATTGTTTCTATACAAGCATAAGGTGATACTTTGACCTTGGTTGTCATTTTTGCTGAAGGTGATGTTGGCTTTTCATTTGAACAAAGACATAGACTTACCTTCTCTGGCTCTCCATTCTCTAGCTGTGGTTAGAGCCGTTAGAGTTTACCTCTCTACTACAGCCTCTATTCAGGTATTTGATTCCTTGTTCATTGACTTAGATGGTCCTAGAAAAGGAAAAGCTGCTTTGTCTTGTACTTTTTCTAGATGGGTTCCTAAAACCAATGATTCATGCCTGTGCCTTGTCAGGCCAAGAATTTCCATTACCTTTTACTGCGCTTTCTACAAGGTTGCTAAGTGCATCCTGGGTATGTTATTCTGCTTGAGGTGCTTAGATTTGTAAGGCAACTACTTGGTCGTATATTCACACTTTTACCAAGTTCTGCAAGATTGACATGGCTGTCTCGACAGCTGCCAGATATTTTTACATTTCAAATTTGTATTTTATTTTCTGGCGGATGCCAGGTTTGGCTGGAAAGTTTTGCAGGTGGCAATTTGAGTTCCACCGGGGTGTGGTACCTTGTTTTTTCTATGTTTATGATCCCACCCTTCTTCTTTACGGCACTGCTTTATGGCTCTGCAGTGACAGTAAATGAACAGAAGAGATAATGGCATTTTTGTACTCAACGTAAATTCCTTTTCTCTGAGTTCATTGAAGGATACCACTCCCACTCAGTCATGTTGTCCTATTATTTCTGGCTACCAACTGAACTGAGTATTGCACATAGGGGGTTTGACCACCAGTAGGGGGCCACCCCATGAGCATGCTATTAGTTTTTTATTTGCAGCTAGAGTCCTTCTCCTGCGGGTGGCTACATCATACCCATCCGTCGTGAAGATCTGTTGTGTCAAACAAACTCAGAGAAAAGGTTTTACGAGGAGTTCAAAAATCACATTATTCAACGAAACCTGCTGAGTATTTCTTGTCTTCTTCCAGATATTTTTAGTTGCCTAGCTGTAAAACTGATTTTATAACTTCAGGGCTTGGCTCCATTCACTTCCATCCCTTTCATAATTAACAACACTGATTCCAAAAAAGTTGGGACGCTGTGTGAAATCTATCAAACCCATATTTTATTCACAATAGAAAACATATATGTTTAAACTGAGACAGTGTTCCATTTTTAGAAAAAAATAAGGTACTTTTGAATTTGATGGCAACAACACATCTCAAAAAAGCTGGGACATGGCAGTGAAAAGCTGGCAGAGTGGTACTAACGGATGAGCTGGAACAACATTTTGCAACTAATTAGGTTAATTGGCAACAGGTCAGTAATATGACTGGGTATAAAAAGAGCATCTTCGAGAGTCAGTGTCTCAGAAGTAAAGATGGTCAATGGTTCACCAATCTGAAAAAACTGCATATAAAAATTGTCGCACAATTTCTGTATAATTTTCCTCTACATAAAATTGCAAAGGCTTTAAATCTATCTTTAGCTACAGTACATAATATCGTTGAAAGGTTCAGAGAATCTGAGAAATCTCTGTGCACAAGGAACAAGGCAGCAGAAACACTATATTGGATGCCAAGGATCTTCAAGCCCTGGGGCAGCACTGCATTAAAACAGGCATGTTTCTGCATGGGCTCAGGAATAGTTCCAAAATTCACAGCCTGTGAACCAATCCAATTCCAATCCATCCAAACATGCAAGGTAAAGCTCTGTCATGCAAAGAAGCAGCCATATCTGAACATTATCCAGAAACTCTGCTGTCTTCTCTGGGTTGGAACTCCTTTGGAATGGTTTGTTGCAAAGTGGAAAACTGTTGTGTTGTCAGATGAATCGAAATGTGACACTCGTTTTGGCAACCATTGGCTCTGCATCATCCTGACTAGAAAGGAGAGGGACTATCAGGCTTGTTATCAGCATTCAGTTCAAAAGCCTGCTTCTCTGATGGTATAGGGGTGCATTATTGGGTATAGAATTGGTCAGCTTGCACATCTGGAAAGGCACCATCAATGCTGACAGATATATCCAGATTTTAGAGCAGCAGATGCTCCCATCCAGACAACATCATTTTCAAGGAAGGCCTTTCATATTTCAGTAAGACAGTGTTAACCACTTGACCTCCAGAGGATTTACCCCCCTTAATGACCAGGCCTCTTTTTGCTACTCGGCGCTGCACTAATTCAACTGATAATTGCGCGGTCATGCAATGCTGCACCCAAACGAAATTTACGTCCTTTTTTTTACACAAATAGAGCTTTCTTTCGGTGGTATTTGATCGCCTGTGTGCTTTTTATTCTTCACGCTATAAATTAAAAAAGGCCAAAAATTTTTAAGAAAAACAATATTTTTACTTTCAGCTATAAAAAATATATAGTAAACTCAAAGTTGGTTATAAATTTAGGCCAAAATGTATTCTGCTACATGTTTTTGGTTAAAAAAAATCCCAATAATTGTATATTGATTGCTTTGTGTGAAAGTTATAGCGTCTGCAAAACTATGGTATAGATACTGCAATTTACGCCATTTTTTTTGCTATACAGCGCTGCGCTAGTATAACGGACAATTGCGCGGTCATACAATACGGTACATAAATGAAATTTACATCCTTTTTTTCCCACAAATTGAGCTTTCTTTCGGTGGTATTTGATCGCCTGTGCGGTTTTTATTTTTTGCGCTATAAAAAAAAAGGCTGACAATTTTGAGGAAAAAAAACAATATTTTTGACTTTTTGCTATAAAACATGTCCAGTAAAAAAAAAATTTAAAATCAAATTT